TTTTTGCGATCAGTTTTTTAAAACTGGTAAACTCCTGTAAACTTTTCAGTCCAAGGATCCAGTAAACGAATGCCTTCAAACAGTAGCCTAAGTTCAAAACAGCTACAGAGAAAACCCGACCGGTTTCATTAGAGATTGCTTAGAGTCACGTCCAGAATGATTCTTTTCAGCGTGTTTTGGCTTAAAAGCACGAGTGTTTTATAATGGACACGCTGCTGAAGCCTGAAGGTGTTTTTTAGATTCCGAATGGATCCGTATAGTAGCCTGTACAGTCAGGTCAAGGCAGTAGGTTTAGTGATCTTTTGGCGTCTCCTTGTGGTCCTGTTATCGCAGCTTGACTAGTACTTAATTGTATTAAAAATGCTCTAAACAATTTTATTATAATTTTTTTTTTGCACTATATAGTATAGCCTATACATAAATTGTAAAAGGTATGGAGGGAGTAGGGGGGTTACTATTTGCCCGTCACTGTATGCCATGGGAGACAGTCAGTAAAACATAGGAGTAAAGCTGCACAATTCTGGATAAAATAACACAGCCCATTAAAAAAATGGGGGCATAAATTAAGAGTATACCCACTTCTCCAGGCACCACTACACCACTGAACGAGGGGTGAGATTGTATATTTCTATATAATACATCAATCTTGTTGCCTATTTCTAGATGCTCCATTAGAAAGAGTGCTTTCAAGCAATGCATAAAAACTATAAAAAGATGTATAAAAACACTTTTCGAATAGCCAACACTGTTATATTTCTCAACAACAGGGGGCAATGTAGGTCAATAGCAGAACGGGTGCCCCCCTCCTCAGCGCCCTCTTCCTAAAAATACCCAGACAAACATTCCCCTCATTAATGTTGGCTTCAGAACATTCTGAAGTGCTTTCAAGCAATTTGTGCGTCATATTAATCTAATGCACCGTCTCTGGTGATTGGCGTCAAGTTAAAGAGATCTCTCTGGCTTTCCATCAACAGCCGCGCTTTTATTCATCTTCCAAAAAAAGAGAGAGAGAAAAAAGAAAAGTTGAAAATGAAGATGGCTCCACTCAGAAAATGGAAAAAGATCAAACACGAGGCAGCGGGAGAAAAAGACAGATAAAAGATGTTCGGCTTGTATTGACAAGAGCGTCTGAAAGAAAATTAATGTTTCTCGCTTTCATCGCGTGTTTATGTCACACCCCTCCATCCCACTCCAGAAACGAGGACAAGGCCGCATCGGATATTTCCAACATCTTCATGTACTACTGAATGATAAGCTGTTTGTCAGATTTAGGAGTTAGATGTACCTTTTTAAAAAACGCATCTGTCTTTTGGCACGATGTTGTCAGCACTATTACCCCTCCAATTTGCGCTCAGATGCCCCCCTCCTCTGCTCTGACTAAAATCCAATTTACTGGCTGTCAGCTCAACTCAGTAATCCTCTGCACAGCTGTGTTTGTGGAAAGAGCCTCTTAATTTGCTCGTCCTCCACATTTCTAAATGTACCATTGCCATATCTGAAGCGAAACGTTAGCTTAATGTGGTTTGTTGCCTGTTTATGAAGGCGCAATGAATGCCTATTGGAGACCCTTTCAGGTTCTGCTCAGCTGAGGAGGTGAGTAAACAGTAGAATATAGGAAATGCTAGTGGAGTTAACAAGCTTGCTGCTATGCTAGTTCATTGCTAGGTGGTTGCTATGGTGTTCTGGGTGTTTGCTGAATGGCTACTTACTAGCCCAGGTTGAAGAGCCACAAAAAAAAAAAAAAAAATTGTCTATCGATAACTATATTAGCGTCCACACCAGCGGACGATATCGTATTTATTCTGAGCGCACGCCCATCTGCCGCTTTAAATTCTCAAGCTAGTTGTAGCAGGATTGATTCTGATTGGCTGTCAATGTTTTTATCATTCATCAGCAGGAAAAAATCGTTCTGAAAGTGATTCCAACTATATTGTTTCTCTGTGCCTTTATCGTTATAGCTGCGGTGTGGACTCTGCTATTCTATAATACTGAGAACGATTTTTAGAACTATATCTATCGTTTTAGTTATTGTCCTTGGTGTGAACAGGCCTTAATGCTAACTATAAGCCTACTAACATAAAGGTTCTACGTTAGGGTTTAGCATTTGTTTCAGCATTATGTAGGTAATATGCACTGTGATTGACATGACCAATAATTTATTTATTTTTTTTTTTTAAATAACGTGACAGTTGCCTTTGTAAATGCACTGTTTTATTGGCCACCAGGTGAAAATTGAAAAGCAATTGCTTTGAAAAGTCAAATCTAACCTCTACTGAACAAGCTGCACAATTTAAGGTAGGATATAATTTGTTAAACTTCGTGCTAGTATTTAACACTTAGCATTAGTCGTTTGTTCAGAGTAAATATATAAACTTTGCAGAAAATCACGTATTGGGGGAAAAGATGCTCGGGAATCTTTAAAAGGCCCATTCATTTTTTATTTTTTTTCTGGTTATGTAGACAGTGTCATCCCTGCATTATACTGACGCCTAGTGGTGTGGAAGCATTACACAAAACGTTGCAACTGTAAAAAATGTCTTTGTCAGTGTTTCTATTGTTAACTAAAACTATTACAAATTTTGCTATTAAATATTTTTCTGTAATTGAAACAAAGAGGAAATAAACTGTAAATATTTAGATGAAAAATGTAAAAAAAAAACGTAAATAAGTTTACACTGAAGTACTACAATTGCTAACACTTAAAGCTAGAAATGAAAAAAACTAATAAAAATGAAAAAGCACACAAAATCACTATTAAATTATTCAAATTAAAGTTAACTCAAAATATTAATAAATACTGTAACAGCACATAAATAATACTCAAAATAATAATAATACATAAAAAACACTGGTATATACAGACATGATTAATGTATTCAATAATCAATAGTGTTCAATAATAATCGATTTAGGATTGCATTATAGTGGCTGGTCATGTGATCTTAATTTGGTGGCTCTCATGAGGTGACAAGCACCACGTAAAATAAAACAGCTTCATTATATGCACATATAACTTTTTTTTAAATTATATTAATTTCTTCATGTGTAAAACTTCTAAATGGGGGAAAAAAATGTGAGTGCCCCTTTAAATATGTTTCTGTATCTGGTTTAAAATAACAATACCCTTGACTAGTTCAGTCAAAAACAGTAATCTTAACAAGCAAAAAAGATGACCTAATAAAAAGTCGCAAACTTCGCCACATGCTGCATGCAATATAAAGCAGTTGGTTTCGGCATGTGTGGGTTGTGGCTCGGGCTAGAACAGTGAATTATAGAAACGGTGTCATTGCCACCGAGCACACACTGCACCATCTCTGACACTGGAGATAAAAGTCACTGCCAACCTGTGGGAGCCACAGCAACCACCCTGCCTGCCTTCCCGCACGCCGCTCTCGGACCATTTGCATTTCCTGCGGACGCTCCGCATCTCATGAATGCTAATGAGGGCATATTTTTCCTGCGTACTAGCCCGGCAGTTACTGCGGGATTGTCCGTATACGCACATCTTCCGCTGTCCCCCGCACGTCTGTGATATGAAAATGAGTGTGAATGATAAGCCTCCAGGGGCCAGGTCGACTCCAACAATTAATCCTGGCATTTACGAGAAATATTCGCCTATGCCTATCAGTACATGAATATATGTATATCTATCTACTCCATATGGAGGAACTAACTAGAAACTAACTGTTTTGTAGTATCTCTCCCCAAAACTGAACCAAGATGTCCCTCATGAATGAATATTAGGTACCGACTGAACCTCTCGACTGCCTTTCAACCTCCCCTGTACCGAAGCATCCGATGCAAGCTATTAATAACCAGGTGAAGATTTTCCTATGGAATATTCTGAGTCACTCTGGGCACGTGAGCGAGGGTGTGTGGGCATGCAGGGATGGGGAGGGTATGTGGGCGGCAATGAGATCATCAAAACGTGTCGAGCCCAGAGTCGCCCTAGTGCCCCAGCGGGGAGGAAGGGTACTCACCGCGTGCGCGTAGGTGCTGTAGGTGCTGAAGGGCAGGGCGATGGCAGGGTTGAAGATGCCAAACTGGCCCACCATCTGTTGCATGCGGCGGATGGTGCGCTCCTTGTCCGTGTCGGCAAACTTGACCACCAGGCTGGACGATGCGCCCTGAGGGAGGAGAGAATCGGAGCCAGTCTGAGGAGAGAGGGCAGGCTGCGTTTAACATCCCGCTTTGCAAGCGAGACTGTCAACCACCACAGGAAACACAATACAATATGTACATGATTTAAACATCTGAGCTCTTCGATGCCGGGTGGATTATGATTGTCAATGTTTTTAGCATTTAAAATTGTTCTGAAAATGATTCCAACAATTTAATTCCTTATTGTTATAGTTGTGGTGTGGACATTACTATTCTCATAAAATTAGAAAGATTATCAAAACTTTATAGTTATAGCCATTGTCCTTAGTGTAAACAGCCCTGAAAGAACTGTCATGTTCTTTCAAACCTGTAAGACTCCATGGAACACAAATTAACACAAATGAATATCCCTAATGACCGAAAAAGGCACAAAATAACCATCAAATATAAATAAATTGATAGACAGACAGACAAATAAATAGAAAATACATACAAACTGGTTAATACAACTTGCATGCTATATTTCAAGGTTTTCTGAAGCCATTTGATAACTTTGTGTAAGGAACAGACGAGAGTAGAGATGCTTGAACAAGTCATTCTTTTGTGAAGGATTCCTTCTTTTGACTTCGATCTTTTCATGGAATCCAGTTCACAAAACCAGCCTGAAAGATTCATTCATCAGTTGGACTGATCCAATTCTCAAGTTCAACTCACTGATTCAATGATCTGGTTGTAGCTCACTGGAAATTTTGGACTGTCAAATCACATCATATATACCATATAACTTGAAATATGAGTCGAATGAATTACATTTATGATGCTTTTGTAGACTTTTTAAAGTTCCAGTTCCCTTTCATTGTATGCAAAAGAGCATTTCAGACTCTCCTTATTTGTGTTCAACAGAAGACAGTATGCCACCCAGGTTTGGAACAACATGAGAGTGAATAAAATGACTGAATTGTTATTTTGGCGTGAACTGTCCCTTTAAGAAAGATCAAAACCTTAAAGTGCTCCTATTATGCCATTTCGAATATTGCCTTTCATGCAGTGTGTAATGTACCAGTATGTGAATGTAAACAATCTGCAAAGTTGGCTCCACTGAATCACAACCTGTAAGTAAGATAAATAATAGATGTTTATATTTTCTATAGAGCGTTCAAAATAAGTAACTATGGTAATGGGCATATTGTTTCCAACATACGCTGCACGTGGTAGACCAATCACAACAGACTGGGCCATCTGACCAATCAGAGAAGAGTAGGCTCATGGAAAGGAGGGATTTAGAGAGACTGAATCTTAGAGCTGCTTTGAATGAATCGTTTGAGAATTGCTGGGAAATTAGGTTATATTAAATGCATATTTTGAGGAAACGAAAGCGTTTTTTGACCTTGCATGCATGTAAACCTATTGTAGGAGACTCCCAAAACAATATTAGAAACCTACAAAAATAGCATAATAGGGGCAACTTTAAAGGGGTCCTATTATGCTTTTTCAATTTTTTTATTTTAGTCAGTGTGTAGTGTGTATTTTTGGGCATAAATCTGGGTCTGAATCCGGCTCAAATTTATATGACAATATTGACGCCATCCTTAACTAAACAGAGCAGACGGAACTTGCTGCTTTGGCAAGGGGCGGGGCAGTACTGAAACACCGTCTAAGCTGTTCGCCAATCACAACGCACTGGGACAGCTAACCAATCACATCACATTTCGTTTTTCGGAAGGCGTGCCTTCATCAAACCTGGAACTAATCGAGCCGTTTGTGCCAGGCTGGGGAGAAAGGTATTATAATAATGTAAATTATGTAAAAAAAATAATGCTTTTTTCGAACTACCAAGCATGAGAGCATGTTCTAGTACACCCCCAAAACAAATTCAAGACATTGTAAAAGAGCATAATAGGACCCCTTTAAGTTCCTATGTGAATGGCATATGTGAATCTACCATGACTTTTTCACTCCAACTTTGCACCAAACACAAGGTGGTTGGATGCATCTTAAAAATAACAACAAAACTTTTTCCCCAAGAAGAAGAAGAAAATATAGAAAGTATTATGAGTTACTACAAACTCTCAACATCAAACCTCAGGCAATCAAACAAATACATCTACAAAACTGCTAGTGGCATCAGTAGATTGACATGAGCCTTGGCAGCTTGACCATTACGCAACAAAATCTATTTCAGATTTCGCTACTTGATAGGTTATGATATTGCACCCGAAATATCAAACGGATTAAATGAAGAACGTGGGTTTGAGATTGACAAGGCCACCAATGATCATGGTCTGACCTTGGATGTGTGGGTTTCTAAGTCTGGCTCACTCATTCTCTCCCATACCGTGGTAGTGAAACACCTGCCACGAGAGCCGCGCTCACATTCATTATGAATCTCTCAATGATTCGATGCTACACTTGACCTTTATCAGCCTACAACATCCCCTGTTCCAGCACTATACTGTCCGAATAAAAAAAGACAAAAAAAAAAAACTACAGAATCGATTTCGGCAAAAAGGCCAAAATATGACTGTGATCTGATGGTAGAGAAAGGTTGTGCATCAGCCAAGATAAGAGGCTAGCTGAAATTGACGTGAAAATGTCGATAAGCACCCACACTATGGGGGGAATATCAGGTGAGGCCACAAGCCAAGTCTGCAGAGTGGAAAGGGGACTGTGTTTTAGGTCCACAACGGGTGGGTCTTGTCCCAAAATGGGTTGTAGGTCTACATCTAAGCAGGGGAAAAAATGATGCTAAATGGCAGCATAAAGCAACTAATCATATATTTGTGCATAATTTGGGCAGAACACAATGTGCTTTGTGCAGTGAATTATTCACTTCAAGAGGCATTTAGTCACTGAACATATACCAATAAACACATTATAAGGTTTGATTTTTATGGAATTACATTTGTGTCAATAAAAATGAACGTAACTTTATAAAACTGACCGTAACTTTTCCAGAAACTATCAAAAATATGCCATTACGAAAGAAGAAAAACACTTCTGAAAAACACAGAAAATGTATGATGCAAAAATGTAAAATGCTCTTCAAATATACTTAATTCTTTGTTAACAATTTTCAAAGATTTGTTTTTGCAAATCGTGGATTTTGAATGCGTTGCCACAGATTTCGTTTACATTTAGCAAATTTTCATTCACTATTTTGGCACAAACCTCTCATGAGGGCGGGCTTAACAGCAGCCTACTTTGATTGACTAGTGAGATTTTTGATGGACAACGCGAATATTGGAAAGCTGTTGCGCCGTGTTATCTAACGGTGGGTCTTGTCCCAAAATGGGTTGTAGGTCTACATCTAAGCAGGGGAAAAAATGATGCTAAATGGCAGCATAAAGCAACTAATCATATATTTGTGCATAATTTGGGCAGAACACAATGTGCTTTGTGCAGTGAATTATTCACTTCAAGAGGCATTTAGTCACTGAACATATACCAATAAACACATTATAAGGTTTGATTTTTATGGAATTACATTTGTGTCAATAAAAATGAACGTAACTTTATAAAACTGACCGTAACTTTTCCAGAAACTATCAAAAATATGCCATTACGAAAGAAGAAAAACACTTCTGAAAAACACAGAAAATGTATGATGCAAAAATGTAAAATGCTCTTCAAATATACTTAATTCTTTGTTAACAATTTTCAAAGATTTGTTTTTGCAAATCGTGGATTTTGAATGCGTTGCCACAGATTTCGTTTACATTTAGCAAATTTTCATTCACTATTTTGGCACAAACCTCTCATGAGGGCGGGCTTAACAGCAGCCTACTTTGATTGACTAGTGAGATTTTTGATGGACAACGCGAATATTGGAAAGCTGTTGCGCCGTGTTATCTAACTTTTACAAACAAAACTAGTAAGTCTGATTCATATGAAATATTTTTTGTGTGATCAAGTGTTTTAACCAATAAATATCTCTTGGGTTACATTTATATGCATTTATTTTCAACACATCTGTACCACATTTAAAAAAGAACCCACCTATATTTTTTCCTTCCCAAACAATGGCAATAATTTTGTAATATTTTTTTTTTAATTTGCGAAGCGTAAGCGATATCTGTGGCAACGCATTCAAAATCCACGATTTGCGAAAATGAATCTTTGAAATTTGTTAACAAACAATTAAGTATATTTGAAGAGCATGTTACATTTTTTTGCGACTGAGTTCTTTTTTTTAATTTTCAGTGTTTTTCTTCTTTCGTAATGGCATATTTTTGATAGTTTCTGGAAAAGTTACGTTCAGTTTTATAAAGTTACGTTCATTTTTATTGACACAAATGTAATTCCAGATTTTCAGGACATTTTTATTTAAAAGTATTTATTTATTTATTTTTAATTAATGACTGAACTATAAGTCAGTGTGATTATAACATATGTAAAAAAACATCACATATTTTTGAAAAAAAAACAAAAAAAACCTTAATTTCAGAATGAAGTCATTTTCAGAATGAAAAACATTGGGTCAAAAGAGATCCCATGCATGCCTCCCATGAAGCAGTTTATTTTATTTATATACTGCTATAGTATTTATTACTATTTTTTATGTTTTTAGTTTTCATTTAAATTTTATTTAAAGTTCTAGTAATTTTATTGTGCTTTTGTAATTTTTATTAATATATATATATATATATATATATATTTCTACATAGCTAGATAGCTTTCTACTTTATACTGCAAGTATACTGATACATAATTTTCAAATACTTTTTACTTTAAATCAAATGTTCTAATTTACATCTGAACAGGTTGATACCAATTAAAACTCTTTATCAAAGAACGTTTCAAAAAGCCTATGGTGAATGAAAAAAATAAAATAAAATAAAATCCGGAACCAAGGCTGTTGAAAAAATGGGTGGTCACTATTGTTCTCTGTATTGTTGTCGGAATGCTTAGAGAGGGCCGAGTACAAAGCAATCAGTTTGCACATCCAAGCTCGACAACTCTGGCTCTAGGCATAAAGCACTCATGTAGGCGTTTGAAGGGGTTGCCAAAAAAACAACGAAGAACAGTCACTGGGGAAGATAAATGTAGATTTTTT